TGCTTGGATCTTCACCCTACTCTTCCCCAAGCATAACATCGCTTAGGATGGCAACCTCCCCGTTTATATTTCTAGGTTTGGCTGAGCAGAAAAGTCAGAAGACAAGATATACCAGGAAAAAGGGCATATTTTCCTACATGAAAATGGAACAGGAAACACGACCGGTTCCTGTTAGTTTCATGACCTGAACATACGGACAGATCAAATGGCTCGTGTACTTTCCGACAAAACTTCTCGATAACTATCTGTTAAAAAGTGAAATGTAAAAGGGCAAGTTAAGATATAATAACCCTTCGATACATAAGCTTCCTACCCCCAAGGGGAAAGGAGGACAAAGACTTTCAAAAAGCTAAAATGCATAGTCAATTTAAAATCAGGAGTAGTGGTGCTTGGGGACGTAGACTACCCAGTGATGTTTCTGGATATTAGCTTGGTTGCTAGGAGCCAAGGGTTAGCAAAGTGAAAGAGTAGTAAGGTCATGTACCCTGGGAAGTCTGGAAGGAGATTTTGTGGCGTGAGCTGCAAACACAAAATCTGAGAGGCTTTGGAAAGAGGTGGGAGAGAATTTCATCTTTCAAAATATTTTTTCAAATACAGAGGTAGAAAATGTTGAACATTTTGATGGAAAGTAGTGAGTCAATTAAAGGATTCACCCGAACACAGAACACTGCACACCCATAAGGGCCTTCCTCTTAGGAATAAGATGGGTCTTCAAAGGACTACCTTCTGTCAGTGTTCTATTTCATAGTCACTGGTGGGCAGAAAAATGGCCCACAACAATGTTCGTGTCCTAACCCTTGGGACTTTGAATATGTTATGTAACATGGCAACAAGGAGTTACGGGTGCAGAGGAAATTCAGGTCGGTAACCAACTGACTTTAAAATAAAGGGATGATCCAGGATTGGCCAGGAGGGCTCAGTGTAATCACAAGGGCTCTTTAAGGTGTGAGGGGAATACAGCCTGGGAAAGACCAGCCTTCTCTGGCTTTGAAGTTGGAAGTGAGTCAGGACACAGGGGGTGCAGGCCGCCTAGAAAAGCTGGAAGAGCACGAACATGGGTTCAGCCCCCTGAGCCCCCAGAAAGGAAAGCAGGCCCGCAGTCAGACTCCGACAGGAGATAATACATTTGTGCTGTCTAAGCCACCGAGTGTATGGCACTTCGTTATAGCAGCAGTGAGAAGCGAAGGAAGTAACTTACATACAAGAACCTGTTAACGATACTAACATTCTTTCTGAACTGAGGCAAGAAAATCAAACACTCGCTCACCTTTTTATAGGTCTTTTCTTCGTTTTGTTTGCCAGGTGCTACATCTCCACTGTCCCCAGCCGACGACATCTGCAAGAGAAAAGACTCCCTATTTGAATTTACAGCTGTACTCTCAGATACAATATGCCAATAATATTGCTAACTGAGAGGATCTATTTTGGTTAAGTACATTTTTGTTGTTTATTGCGGCTATCTCCAAGAAAGGAAGAGATTTCTCAGAATACTAAAAAAAGAAAAAGGAAGAAAAAACAGTGGTCCCCAATCTTTCCAAAATATATCTTTACTTCTAAATCATTTTAGTAGCATACTTGACTCCATAGGAAAGATGCTATGGAAGTCCAACCCATAAAGTTTCTTTCTACAAAGCCTTTAAATTTTTTTCCTTCTGGTTATAGATGCTTCCTGTACAAATATCTGGAAAGTTCCCAAAAGTAAAAATCAGAAGACAAAATTACTCAATTCTACTACCCTTAGGCAACTCCACCATTATGGCATATTTGCTGCCATCTCTTGTTCCATTCATTTGCAAACTGAATATAATACCATCTTACCCAGCATTTTTCACTGAACATTTATGTGATAAGCATTTTCCCATTTGATTATAAAAACCTCATTGTAAGAATAATTTTTTTTCTAGTTGCAAAGTATCACTGTGCAAACACAATTGTGTGTGATTAAAGGACAGCTGATGCGGTCCAAGGATTTTGCCTGTACAAATAATTATTTTATGTTTCTGTCTTTGTTCAACTTCAATGTTTTCTTAGACTAGATTTCTAGAAATACTAGGCCATTAAAAAACGGAAAGTGCTTGCTCAGCTGGTGTGGCTCAGTGGTTGAGAGTCAACCTATGAACTAGGAGGCTGTGGACTAGATCCCCTGTGGGGGGGATGCAGGAGGCTAATCAATGGTTCTCTCTTATCATTAATGTTTCTCTCTCTCTCTCTCTCTCTCTCTCTCTCTCTCTCTCTCTTTCTTCTTATCTGAAATCAATAATAATATATATTTTTAAATTGAAAATTTAAAAGCACATGAGTCCATTGGTCTGAGTGTTTTGTACTTGGGAGAGCTGGCCCCTTCAGAGCAGGTGATGACATTACTGAGGAGTCAGGCACCATCAATCACATTGTGTGCAGGACACCTTGAAAGATGCCAGTGTATGGTCTCATTAGGAATAAATGGCAATATTAACCCCTTATAATGTTCTGCACAAATGAAAAAGACTTTTTAGGCTACAGTTATGTCAGTAGAAATAATCTCCATGTAGGATTTAAACCATTTTTTAAAATGTAAACTGTTACTGACTGTGCCACATTTTCATTTTCTGGCATAACTACTCTCAACCTATCTGCAAATTAATTTGGAATTAAATTAAGTTTCAAAAAAATATGAGAAGGGTTCCTTGATTATTTTAATCAAATATGATTATTCATTATTTTTCAATCATTTACAAATTTTAAAGGTAATATTTGTGTTTATCGTAAAAAGCAAAAAATGTATTTTATTTGAAAAAATATAAAGGAGAAAACAAAACTATCACCTTTAATCCAACTACCCAGAAATAATCATTGTTAATAATTGGTTATTTCACCATTTGATCTTTTCCAAATGTGTGTTGTTGTTTTTTTTTAACAAAACTGGAATCATATATTATATACAATTTTGTGTTTGCCCTTTTCACTTACCATTGTATCACTAAATATTAATCAGAAATAATTTCAAATGTCGGAATAACAATATTATAAAATGTTATCATATTTCAATATTTATTAATAGACATTTGGGATGCATCCTATTTTTCTATTAAAAATTAAACTGTACTCTGTTTTTATACCAACAGCGTGTCTACTTAGAGCGGCCACAGATTCCCAGAACAACGACTGCTGGGTAAAATACCCTATCTACTTTATATCTTTATCAGCATCAGGTATTTTCATTTAAAATCAAACAAAACACTGCCAATCTAACTTTGGGCAAAAATATCCATCTTATTTTGCATTTATATGATTAATTGTAAGGATGAACATTTTTGATCATATTCATTTCTTTCTTTATATTTTTCGAGTGAATTGCCTATATAAATCTTTAGCTCATTTCTATATTAGGGTGTATTTGTGTTTCCAATTTAGTTTGTAGTAATGATAATAAAGAAGGGTAGGATTTTTCTCTAACCTTCAACTATTTAATAGGGCCAACAGAATGGACGCTTCCTTAAGAATGCAATTTCAGAATAGACTGTGGAATCTTAGAGGGAAGGCAGGGGTGGGTGGGAAGAGATCAACCGAAGAACTTGTATTCATATATGCATAACCCATGGACACAGACAATAGTGTGGTGGCCTGGGATGGGAAGGGGGAGGCACAGGTGGGTAGACTGGAGACGGGGACCGCTAGAAAGGGTCAACAGGGAAAAGGGGACATACGTAATACTTTCAACAATAAAGATTAAGAAAAAGAATGCCATTTCAGTAACTTCACTTCTAAGACTTTGCAGCTTTTAAAACCAAAAAACTTCAAGAGGAACTCTTGAAAAAACAACCATAATGAAGAGCTGACTAATTGGCATGAATGAAGGACAGATGATGAGAAGGTCTGTTTTACTCTTTTGTAAATCACCCTGACTGGACAGTAGGGAAGCGGGGGAGAGAAGTAGGTCAACTTGTGTTTTTTTAAAAAATGATTTACATTCAGCAGCACAAAACAGATGATAATAATAAAGGGAGTTCATGAAATGTCACCTGGATTCAAAGGTGGTTTTTTTTTTCTGTGGGGTGATGCTTAACGAAAGTCACATGAACCTATGAACCAGGACAACCGTGCTGGAGAGCCAAATGAGACGCTTAGGATGTCCCGGTAACTGCAAGTGGCTATTCAAATGGTCACAGTGTTAATCACTCTTTGTTCTTAGACTTGCTATGTTCCTGCACCAGTTAAGTGCATCACTTATAATTATGGAAGTCAAGGTAAGTATGGATTAAAAACATTGTTTTCAAAAACATTATAATCATATATATCTCTGTGTATACACAAAAGGAAGAAGAAAAATTCATAGAAATACAGGTGATTATCTCCAGATGATGTGATTATGAATGCTTTGGGTTTTCATTTTATAGATGGTATATTTATTTTTTTATAAATTGAGTTTATTGGGGTTACATTGGTTCATAAAAGTTATACAGCTTAAGGGGTACAATTCTATAATACATCATCTGTATATTGTACTGTGTGCTCACCACCCCAAGTTATGTCTCTTCCCATCACCATTTATTCCCCCCCTACCCTTTCCTACCTCCCTCCATTGCCATTTCCCTCTGGTAATAAGCATATTGTTGTCTATGAGTTTTATTTTTCTTGCTTAATCCCTCACCTCTTCCATCAGTCCCCTACCCTCTCCCTTCTGACAACTGTCAGTCTGTTCTCTGTCCACATATTCTGCACTGAGCACTGCTACCTTTAAGAATAAGGAAAATACTAATGCTATTAAAAAATTTAACCACACACAATAGTTAATAGCAGAGACCACGTCTGGGTTCTGCCCCTTTAGGCATACTGATGTTCACAAAATTTCCGGTTGCCATTTGCTTGCTGCTTATTTTAAATTTGATAATGTCGAAGTTAAAGGTCATGAACTAGATATATGATTTAGAATATTTGTAAATAAGTATAAAATAAAAGAGGTAGGGGCTCTATAACGAGGCAGTTGGAATGAATTAAAAATGGAGACTGTATTTCCTTACCTTAGTAAGTGAAATGGCAAGTCATCTGTTGTTGGTGGTGATGGGCAGCTTGTTCATTGTTGAGACTGTTTTCCTTTCCAGGTTCCTGTTAAAATAGAAATCACTGGTCATTACTTTTTTCATATCTCCACCTCATCCCTCCAAAAGGACCACAGGTGGCTACTGGGATACATACAATGCAAAAGGTAAGTTTAAATTAAAGGAAGGAATGTGTGTGAGGGGAAAACAAAGGTAGGGAGAACCAGATGAAGCCAGCTGCTCGAGCTACGCATAGAACGTAAGCCATGTGACTCAGTACAGTCTCCAGTTTCACGCTGAGATTCCTAGTGGTCACAGCAAATGAGGAAATGACCAGTTACCTAAATGCCCAATGACTGTAAGATAAAGGCAAACCAGTTGCTCAAGTGAACCACAGGTGTGGGGGAACTGAGGCTAGAGCAACCATTTCTCCTGGGGACTTTCCGTAGGAGACCCTATGTGAAGTGTGAACAAGGTTTCAATATTACCCGTGCTACATCAACTGTGATTTTCATGAGTGTTATTTAGATGACACAACCTCCAACAACAGTTCAACAAACATCCCTTGGTATAATAATATTTTTATACAGGAGATAACATACTCATGGCAACCGATTTTAAAACACAGAGATGTATAAAGAATGGTAAAGACCCACTTGTATTTGCCCACTCTGAGATAACCTATATTAACAGTTTGATGTATATCCCTTTCAAAATCTTCCCTATGCTTACACACACACACACACACACACACACACACACACACACACACACACTTCTTCCTTCTTACTCGTAACAATATGTTTGAATCTTTTTTTCAAATCTATGTGTGTGTCTCATTTTTAAATAACTGTAACACATTCCACAAGATGGATATACCATCATTCAATCAACTACTTCCTCCTGATGAACATTCAGACTGTCTCCAGGTTTGGTACCATAACCAGAGCAGGAATAAACAGCCATATTGAAATATCTTTAAAGTTCTAGTACTTTCATTTCTGTGGGAAAAAGTCCTGGAAGTTGGATCCAACTTGATAAACACATTAACTACTTGAAGGTCCACGGCTACATTCCTCTCCGTAAAAAGTCTGAAGCAATCAGTTCAATGGTGCGGGGAGAGTACCTGCTTATTGACATAGTATTGGCTCTGGATGGCTGCCACCTCTAAATGTTTGCCAACCTCAGGGGCAGATCGTGGCTTCTCAGTTGTTTTAATTTTCATTCCGTTGTTGCTAATGGGGCTGATCCTTTTCACAGGTATCCTGGTAATTTAGATTTCCAGTGCACGCCCTTTGCATATTTTCTACTGTGCTGTTTATCTTTTTCCTTTTTACAATCAATTTGCAAGATGTCCCAGTATATTAAATACCAACTCTGCCATATAAACCGTAAGCTACTGTTAATCTTTTGGCTTTATTTATGTTGTCTTGTCATGTAGACATTTTTAATACTTACATAGTCAAATATGCTAATTTTTCCTATATGGATTGTGGATTTACTATCTTCCTGGGACAGATCTTTACTCCAAATGGAACCTAACCTCATTGTCTCCCAGGTAGGCAACTAATTGCCCCAACATCATTTTTCCTTATAATCTATCTTTTTCTTACTAGAAAGGCTTGTCACTTTTAACATATATCACCTTTTCCTAGATACTTCAATCTATTTCTGGACTCTTTACTCTGTCCCAAAGATTTGCTCATTGATTCCTGAGCTAATATCATACTGCAATATGATAGTATACTTTGATAGTAAACTCTTCTGAGTTTAGTAACTTTTCACATTTATATTTTTAGATGGACTTTAAAATCATATTGATTGATCTGACAATCTGTACCCCTTCTAAGTTGGGATTCTGGCTGGAGTTATATTAAATTTATATACTAATTTAGAATTCATCTTTTTGGAATTGTGAGTTTTCTCATTCAAAACTCAAAAGAAATATATATATAACTTTTACTACCATCTGACTTTTTGGATTTGTCTTATGTCTTACTAAATTCATTCCTAAATATTTTAGTTTGTCACTCTTTTAATAAGGACTTCTCCATTTTAACCAGTTATTAACTCAAAGAAAGAAGAATAATTGTGCTCCAGCTATTTTCTTCCCAGTCCTGTTACCAAGCCCACTTACCGGGTTTTAAAAGATTTTAACTGGAATCTCAATCACATCACCTGCACTATTTATACAGCTTATTCCTGTGTCTTTTCTTATTGCATTCCCTCACCTTCTCAAACAATGCTGAGTAACAGCAGTAGTACCAGGCATCTATAACATAATCCTGCAGGAGTCACCTCCAACACGATGCTTTTGTTTGTTTGGTAGCAGAATAGGTTCTTTCTGCTACATCCTAATGTACCTTCGTGTTTATTAGGAATGTTTATTAAATTATATCAAATGCATTTTCTGTATCAGTTGATATACTGATCATACAATGTTCTTTATTCTGTTGTGTCAATATGTAACACTCAGAGATTTCATAATGCAAAATCATCCTTGTAGCTGAAACCGGTTTGGCTCAGTGGATGGAGCGTCGGACGTGGGGCTGAAAGGTCCCAGGTTCGATTCCGGTCAAGGGCATGTACCTGGGTTGCGGGCACATCCCCAGTAGGAGATGTGCAGGAGGCAGCTGATCGATGTTTCTCTCTCATCGATGTTTCTAACTCTCTATCTCTCTCCTTTCCTCTCTGTGAAAAATCAATAAAATATATTTTAAAAAAATCATCCTTGTATTTCTAGAATAAACACTAACTTGGATTTAATTTGCTACCATTTTAAAAGGGGCATTTTCATGATTGAAATTAAATGATTGTTGTCTCATCTTCATTAGGCTTTGGTATTAGGAATTAGTGCTTTTCATAAAGTTGGAAGGCTTTCTCTTTTTATATGCACTCAGATTTGTTTTACAGTTAATAATTTCTTGGAATTTATAACCTCTCTTTGGATTGACTTTTAGTAATTTACTCATTTTTTAGAAAGCAATTTTCTTTAAATTTTAAAACTTGTCTTATATAAAGTTGCGCATAACATTTTCTTACTGATTTTTTTTAATCCTTTTGGGATCTAAGTAATGTATTTTCCATTATTTCTGATGTGTGTGTGTGTATGTGTGTATGTATTATATCTATTTGCATTGTATGCATTGTATATACATATTCTTAATGTTGTGTATATAATGTATATATTTTTAATGAAAGTCAGATTTTCTTTATTTGTTTTGTGGCCATTTCCATTAATTTAGCTTTTACTGTCAATATTGTCTTCTTTTTTTTTTTGCTTATTTTATAAATTTTTAGATGCAATACTTAGTTTCTTTGTCATTCTTTCAAAAGTATAGTACCCAAAGCATTTAAGTTAGAAAGTACATCTGACTATATTAACCATCTACACTAATAAAAGAGAAACATGGTAATTGGCGTACGACCATTACCCTTCCCATTGGCTAATCAGCGAGATATGCAAATTAACTGACAGCCAAGATGGCGACCGGCAGCCAGGCAGCTTAAACTGAACATGAGGCTTGCTTCCTTCAGTGACGGAGGACGCCAACGTTCCCCGCCTGCCGCTGCAGGCCTCTCAGTGGGCAGTTTGAAACATAGTAACATATAGAAGCTAAAAAAAACTCCAGAAACCTGCTTTCAGCAAGCTGGGATCTCAGAGCTGTAGTTGATACAGAGTTTCGATTGTAGAACACAAACAAGTCTGGGCCTGAGGGTTTCCGCTTTCCCAGCAGCAGAGCCCGCAGAGCTGGAGCCACAGCTAAAGCTGGCCCAGAATAAAAGAAAAAAAAAAAGAAAAAAAAGGAGCGGTTGGGAGCTTCAGTCACCCGACAGCCTGAAAACAGCCCTCAGCTGGCCAGGCACCCCAGTGGGGACCCCCACCCTGATCCAGGACACCCTTCAGGGCAAACCAGCCGGCCCCCACCCGTGCACCAGGCCTCTACCCTATATAGTAAAAGGGTAATATGCCTCCCAGCACTGGGATCAGCAGAGCCATGAGGCCTCCCGGCACTGGGATCAGCATGACAGGGGGCAGCGCCCAAACCCCCTGATCAGCCCTGCTCTGTGTGTGACAGGGGATGGTGCCACAACTCCGCTATCGGCCCTACTCTGTGAGTGACAGTGGGAAGCTCCCCAACCCCCTGATGGGCCCTGCTCTGTGCGTGACAGGTGTGGTGCCGCAACCTCCCCATCGACCCTGCCTTGAGTGTGACAGGGGGTGGTGCCCCAACCCCCCAATCGGCCCTACCCTGAGCATGACTGAGGGTGGCATCGCAACCTCCCAATCCGCCCTGCTCTATGCATGACAGGGGGCGGTGCCCCAACTCCCCAGTCGGCCCTGCTCTGCGCCCGACCAGGGGTGCACCTAGGGATTGGGCCTGCCCTCTGCCACCCAGGAGCAGGCCTAAGCCAGCAGGTCGTTATCTCCTGAGGGGTCCCAGACTGCGAGAGGGCACAGGCCGGGCTGAGGAACCCCCTTCCCCCCAAGTGCACAAATTTTTGTGCACCGGGCCTCTAGTCTTTTATAATAAAAGCCTAATATGCAAATCGACTGAACGGCGGAACAACTGGCAGAACAACCAGTTGCTTGACGTGCACTGACCACCAGTGGGGAGATGCTCAACACAGGAGCTGTCCCCAGTCTACAGGCCCCAGAGGGAGGCAACCTGTGGTGGCAGCAGCAGGGGGTGGGGCTGGCCAAGGTGGATGCCAGCAGGCCCTTCACCCATTGCCCTGAAGATTGACCCCTAGAGGGAGGCGACCTGCAGCATTGGGGGGCGGGGCTGGTGAGAGGGCGGTGCCAGGCCAGCCAAGGCGGGTGTGAGTGGGGGGCCCCCAATCACCCCGCCGGTTGCCCCACAGATTGTCCCTGATTGCCGGCCAGGCCTAGGGACCCTATTAGTGCATGAATTTTGTGCATTGGGCCTATAAATTTTTATGTGAAATGTTCTGTTTGATCAACTTCCAGATAACCTGTCATTTTGGATTTGATCTCTACTTTGATCAAGAAATCATCTAAAAAAGAGTTTAATAATTTCAAATATTTACAGTTTAATTATTATC